CAACCTGTGGGTCACGACCCCTTTGGGAGTCAAATGACCCTTTCATAGGGATTGTCCGATTCATAACAGTAGCAAAATTACAGTGATGAAGTAGCAACGAAAATAATTTTATGGTTGGGGGGTCACCACAACATGAGGAACTGTATGAAAAGGTCAAGGCATTAGGAAGGTTGAGAACCACTGGTTTAGAGCATTATTTACGTTGCCATTTCTATCACTAGTTTTACACTTCAGTAAATCAAGCTATTTTAAGGAATTGGGACTGTACAGTACAATAGCAGAAAAATAAAAGCAAATATAAACAAGGTACAAATGATATACACTCAAAGATTAGTAGATAGGATGAAAAGACTAGTCTAATTCTTTTAGCACAAGAAACAATGAATTCATTACAGGAGTTCTTTAACTATCATAATTCTTAGGGTTCCAATCTGTGAAGTGTTTTGAACCTATGGCCTTACCTTTTCTTCTGAAACTGGAAACCATCAGATTTTTGACAAGTCCTCAGTGGCCGATGGGCATCACGCTGAGACGCAATGACTGATCTAGCACCACTCACTGCCACTCCATTACCTACACTTGCCTGAACCTTACCAGAATGGAACAGGCCCTAGGGATAAGGTGCCTTGAATCCCTAGCTCAAGCCGGACTTTGCACCCTGGCATTATTTCTAGTGCTTTGTTTCCCTGCTGCAATAGCCTCCCTGTTTTTGCTGGAATGCTTGCTAGTTACAACCCTGGGTCAGCCAGGTCACCAGCTTCCTCTACTGCTCTAATAGTCAAAAGTCAAAACAGAAAATTACTGCCGCATTTTTTTCATCTGCTCTCATATACTAAGCATATCTCACTCAATTTTTCTGCTGCTTTGCATCAACATCTGAGGTACCTACTCAAGCCCACTGATGTACCTATTCAAGGGTACATCAACATCTGATGTACCTATTCAAACCCACTCTTGGACTTGTCAGCTCTATTACTGTCCCCATGTCTGCATTCACCTGTTATCTCTATCATCTGACTTTTGTGATTTCTGATTCTTTCAAGATTCACTGCTTCTAACACAGGAGCTTACAGGTTCATTTTTCACTCATCCACCCCTGTTGCACTAAGCAAGTTTGCAAACTGCATATGGCTCACCAAGCTGGTGGGTGATTCTCTCAGAGGCAGCTGTTAACACTGGATGGGCCATCTTGCTAAGGCTTTCATTCCTGGCTTACCAACACAACCCACAAACAAACTCACTGCCACCGAGTCACAGCGACCCAGAAGTGACACTCAAAATAGCTTTGTTATGAACACTAAGGAAGGAAAATTAAGTCAACTTCTTAAAACCATCTCCCTACAAAGTTCACAAATATTTAGCTATTATAAGCAAGATTTTTTTTCATCAAAAAATTTTTTTTCATCAAAGTGTTAAATCTTGTCTGTAAAGAAGTTCAATTATTTTGCTATATGGTAAACTTAAGACTGTTTTCCTCTAATTAAATCATTCAAATGAATTAAGTCCTCAATAAGCAAGAAACAAAAATAACATTTGCCAGTAAGGTAATTTACTATCATGTACCGAGACATAAATAAATAGATGTTATTTGCCTTATATATATTTTAAAACAACCTAGAGGTCTTAATCACAGGTAGAAAAAATTAACGTGATATATGCTAATGTAAAGTGCTGGTATGCAATTTAGTTTACCAATCTTTTTCTCTCTGAATAATTAAAATCTCCTTCTTGAGGGGGCTGAGAGGAGGAGAGCTCTAAGGAACCTGCTTTGGAATTAAACGCCCAAATAATGTCATCAAAGCATTTCTTCTGTTTATCTGAAAATCAACATAAGCACGGCATCCATTTAAAAATATGCAAACTTATTTGGGGAGGCAGAAAGAAAAAAATGAGCACATTATCTCTAGATATTTTACTTCCACATTCAATTAAAACAAACGATAACATTGCTTAAGTAGTTTGTACAAAACGTCTTTTACTTGGGCAGTGTTGCTGCATACTCTAATGAATCCACTGGGGCTTCCAGAGGGGAAAGAGCAATATGAATTCAGTGTGAAAACATTTAAGAGCAAAGCCAAATGTCCCCGCTTGACTAGAATGTTTATGAATACCCATAAAATGGAATATGGCTTCAGATACTCAAAATTCTTTTTCAAAGGGGGTACTCAATATATTCCATAGAAAGGGAATTGCTTAATAAAGCCAAAGCCAGTTTATATTCTTATTGCAGGTCAAACATTTAGGTCAGAGGTCTTCAAACTACGGCCTGCAGGCCACATGCAGCCCGCCGAGGACATTTATCTGGCCCGCCGGGTATTTTTGCCCCATTTGTTTTTTTACTTCAAAATAAGATATGTGCAGTGTGCATAGGAATCTGTTCATAATTTTTTTTTAAACTATAGTCCGGCCCTCCAACAGGTCTGAGGGACACTGAGCTGGCCCCCTGTTAAAAATGTTTGAGGACCCCTGATTTAGGTGCTTTGTTTTGGCTTTTTTCTTTAAGCTTTCAGGTTTAAAGAACACTTTCACGTATTCTTCAAAGCTAATAATGTCATAGGAAAAATGAATATTTTACCAGGTAAAACACACTACAGCAATGACTTCTAAAAGATGTATTTACTACTCATGGAAGGGCTTTCCTCTTTGCGGAGATAGATTCCCAACAGTGGATTACCATTAATTTACTTGTTCAAAATAAGCCAAGCAAGTTCTCTGCAAGGCAGACAAGACAGCAAATACTCACATACTCTTACTATGAAGGTCCTATGAAGTACAAACCACTGTATTGAGTGCTGTGATCAAAGAAGTATGGCGATTATACATTTGGCGGGAGGGCAACACTACCATATACATAAGAAGTTAATCAATGAACGTTTTTCAACAAGCCAATTATAACATTTGGGGGTAATATGAAGACTGGGCATAAGATGATTCCAATGAATTAAAATTATATCTAATTTGAGAAAAAGGCTTTGTTTTTTAGAGATACACAGAATATGTAAGTATGTAATGACATGTGATTTGAAACCAACTTTAAAATACTTTGTAAAAGAAGAGAGAAAGGAAGGAGGGAAGGAAAAAGATGATGGCAGCTGAAGGTGTGGCAGAAACCTTAATAGTTGTTGAGTTGGGGCAATGAGCATATTGGGGATCCATAAAATTAGTCACTCCACCTTCAGAGATGTTTGAAAGTTTCATAATAGGAAATTAACGCTTTCATCAAAAGTAGGGCATGAATTAGCAAATGATGAATTTGCAAAAGAGGAGGGCATTTTACAAATTCGACCTCATCTCTAGTCCCTAACCATCTGCCAATACACGAGTCACATTCCGGGCTCTGGCTTGCAATAGTGAGAGCTCATCAGTTCTGTATCAGGGCGAGTTAGTCAACTAGCTTTCTTTTCCTAATTTCCCTTATAGCTCATTCTCTTGGCCCTGGTCCAACTACTACGTCCATCCTTCTGAATTTTATTTCTAAATCTCATTTGTTTTCAATTCCCAGTAGTTAACAGACTCCAGCTGCAAATTGTAACACAAAGAAAGCCAGAGATAGGCATTCTACATCTCAGTGCTAAAGTCTGTGGTAAATAACCTACATGAACTCATGGGCTCTTCAAAAACTCATGTTGTCTGTCTTGACATGTCCTTGACACTTGAATGTTTCCACCAAACGGGTGGGTGGATAAGAAGGTGAATGAATACTGTGAGCGGAGATGCAGTTTGCTTTCTGCCATTAACTCTTACTTGCCTTTCTACATAGCTCTATTCCTAGCTGAAGATTTCTACGTTTTCCCATACCTTAAAAAGCAAGCAAACCAGTATTGGAACATCAAAGCCAGAAATACCTGCATCACAAATTCTCGGCGACGGGGCATTCCTCTTTCTGAAAGCAAAACATAATCTGGTTCCTTCTCCTTTTTGGCCTGCTGAATTTGAGCCAGGCGACTAATGGGGTTCATTCCTTGACCATATTCTGGTCCAGCCTAAAAATTAATTTACAGAAAAGTTGAAAATATGCTTGTAAAACTTGTTAATGGACCCTTTTTAAAAAATGGTTCCCTTTTCAGCCCCACCCCCACCCCTCCAAACCGTTAACTAGAAAAGAGAAATGAATCATTTAGAAATATTTGCAAAGAAAATAATCTAAAGGAATCTGAAATAGGGCTTCTATCGGATTGGGGGGTTCCAGTATATTATTGGTAAATTGGAACAATAATGGTTTTATAAATAATGAACTCCTCAATATTGTAGTTACTTTACAACTTCTATTCACACAAAAAAACAAAAATATCCCACAGATTCTATGAGAAAACAAGCCATGAAGTGGAATGAGGTATCTGCAACATATATAACAACCAAAAAAGCATCCAAAATGTTTTAAAGAAACTCTAAAAATAAATAAATAAAAGATAATCTAAATGAAAAATGAGCAAAAAAGGTACACTCAGCAGATTATTTAGCACATGAATATTAGATTATCAATATCATTAGGAGAATAGATATTAAAATAACAATGAGATGCTCCACCAAATTGGCAGAAATTTCATACCCACCAAGCAAACTGGCAAAAATAAAAGTCTTGAGAGTTCTAATTGGCAACAGAATTTCTAATATAACATTGAACAGGAATAAATACTAGAAGCTAATTCAGCAGATCTATAGTACATCTTATTCCCTAGCAGTCTATTCTGAAGCCCATAAGGGAGCTTAAAAAGTTAACGGGAAAAATTTTGTATCTTTTAATCCCATTTTTTCCACACTCTTTGTGAAGTCTCCTTTAAACCTTTGAAAGCTGCTACCCGTTTATGTCAGCTCTTATGTAATAGGTATCCATTGCTGCAATATTTGAAACAGCTAAGACAAAAGGAAAATGACTTAAATATTTATTAATGAGCAATTGGATCAGTTATGGAGCCTTCATAAAATGGAATAGCACAGGGCATTCATTTCAGCACTGAATTAACTCATCAAGGTGAGACCACTGCTAAGTGAAACAGCACAGAAGACTACACACAATACAATATCCTTTATGAAAGAATCACTAATAAGACATTGTTGAAAGAAAGTAAACAATTAGATGTAAAAAGTGAAGAGACACTGTGTTCATTGATCAACATTGTCGAGATGTCTATTCACAGCAATTCTAACCAAAATCTCACAACTTTTTCCTTAGAAACCGACATGCTGATGCTAAAATTCATATGGAATGCAAAATACAATTGGTCAAAGCAACTTTGGGGGATGAAAAGAACAAGTTAGAGGATTCACAGTACCTGATTTCAAGATTTGCACAACCCTATAGGAATCAAGAGTGTGTGCAGTATTGGAGTAATAACAGACAAATGGGTCAATGACACAAAATTGTGTTCAGAAACAGATCCACACATCTATGATGGATCAACTGATTTTCAACAAAAGCGAAAAGATAATTCAGTGGAGAAAAGGTTGTCTTTTCAACCAAATATACAGGAACAAATGGATAACCCTATGTAAATACATAACTTTAATCTATACATCATACCATTTATGAAAATTAACTGAAAATGGTGTAGAGACTGAAAGGTAATACCTAAAAGTATAAATTTTGTGACTTGGTTAAGTAACAATTTCTTAGCTATAACATTCATTCCATAAAACAAAAAAAAAACTTTAAAAACTGGACTTCTCCATAATTAATCATTTCTTTTCCAAAAAGACAAATGACAGACTAGAGAAGTATTTCCAAACCACATGTTCTTTAAGAACTTATTTCTTGAACATACAAAGACCTTCCAAAATTCAATAAATGATTATTATTTAAAATAGCGAAAACTTCTAAACATTAGGGCAAATGATTTGAATGGCTCTTTCATCGAGCTTCATGTGCCACTAATGACCCTGGTGGCACCGTGTGCTCGGCATTGGGCTGAGGTTCACACCCACTGGCTGCTCTGTGGAAGAAGGATAAGGCTGTCTGCTCCGGTGAAGACGTATAGCCGCTGTAGTCTCAGAAATCCTACACAGGATCGCTATGCGTCAGAACGGACCCAATAGTAGTGGCTTTGGGTTTCATGTGCCACTACATGAAAAAATATGCACTATTATTAATCAATGGAGAAACGAAAAGTAAAACCACAATTCAATACAACTATACATGTATACACAAGTCTAAGATAAAAAGATTTATCATACAAAGTGTTATCAAAGATGTGGATCAGCCGGAGCTCTCCTACATTAGATAGGAACGTAAGACAGTAAACAACTTTGAAAACCAGTTGGCAGTTTCTTAACAAATTAAATACACACCTACACGTGACCAGAACATTTCACTTCTAAGTATTTACCTAAGAGAAATGAAAGCAACTACCCTTAAGCAGACTTGTAGGCAAAAGTATACAGCAGCTTTAACAGATAAACGGTTCAACAACAGGTGAACAGTTAACCAAATGGTATTTTCATACAATAAGATATTAATTAGCAATAAAACAGAACCAACAATTAATATGCACATCAAGTAGGATGACTCTCAAAATAATTGTGCTGAGTGAAAGAAGTCTAGTGCTTCAGCCAGCTTGCCTTGAGTCTTGGTGTAGCTCCTTTATGTCTCTTTTAAGATCGATACATAATTCCCAGTCACAGTTCAACTCCATGCTGCATTTTTGGAGCAAGACTCCCTTCAACCAACATCACAGAATTTACATATAAATATACAATGACTGCCCTGTATATTGGGCATGTAGCTTATTATTTGAGAAAAGTATCTTGTATGGAATTAAAAGGGCCTGAGATTAACATTTATATAACTATTACATACAAATGTGTAAAATCAGAAAGAAAGGGTTGGGTGGAAAGAGCAAGTAAACTAAAAGAGCGACCAAAAAAAGATGTTTATAAAATAATCAGCGCCATATGGGCACGACTGTGAAGTGAAATTGTTCCGAGAGTGACTGGAACCCAGTTAAGTTGTCTTTCTTTGTAACTTAACCCCTTTATTTCAATCATGCCAGATTTCACCTTTAAGCAGTGTCAAAATAACAGGCCTATTTGCATCATCTCCTATAACAATCCTCTCTCTTATGCCCTCATTCCTTAACTCAAAGAGGTAGCCTCACTGAAGAATTAGAAGCCAGGGAGGTAAAAGCAAGAGTACTTCGCCAGAAGTACAGAAGTTTGCTATCAGATTTTATCTTCACTCAGGATACCTTTTCTCCTCAGACATCAGAGGGGAGCTGGCCCCATTCAAGTGAGGCAGGTCAATGTTATCTGCCCAGGACAGTGCAAGTCAACTCTTGAAGAGATGCTGGAAATGACCAGAAGGAAAGAATGGAAGAGAAGAGGAAAGGGCAGTCCACTGTCCTAGGACTAACTTTATTCACATCAAAGGAATCTCTACATACTGTGGCCTCAGTCACTCTGGTTCAGGCAAGGTCAGATTAATACACTGAACTTCTTTAAATGGTAGCAGACCACTAGCCTCAGTTTCCTTATCTCAGAAAGATAAGCTTCTTGATCCAAAAGGCGGCACTGAAAGAGAGCATTCTATTTGAAAAAGTTAGCTACCAGCTAGTATGCTTTTTGAACCTCAAGAAAGCATAAACAAGGGGATTAGCTGTGAAAAATAAGGCTGACGGATACTGCAAATATAAAACGTGAAATATCTAGGCAATGACTGGGAGGGGTATGGAGGTGAGGAGGGCTTGGTGGCAGTAAAGACACAACCAGAGCAAAGGGTGTAAGAGGAAGAAGAAAGCTTGAGGGTGATTTGATTTCTCAGGAATTAGATTTTTTCTGAAACCAAATTCACACTTGAGATGGCAAAAATGCAGCCTTTTTATTATGTGATAGCTTAAAGGAATCCAACACTTTCGGAAAATGGCTACCTTACAAGCAAATGGGGAGAAAGCAGCCCTTTCCTACTCCCACAAAGAGTGACAGTCTCGGAAACCCACAGGGCAGGCCGTTCTAGCCTGTCCTACTGGGCCCTACAGGCAGTGAGTTGTGGCGCTCTATCAGCAAACCCAAGAATTTGGTCTCTTTAGAATCCCCTTGCAAATGTTTGATCACCTATGACTACGAGTAAACAGTGTAAAGCGTGCCTCAAATTTCACCAGAGCCAAAAAGGGTTCCTACTTCCTTTCAGAATTAGAGCTGTTATCCAAAGCAATTTTTAAAAAATTCAACATTCGTTAAATTGATAAATCCTTTGCCTGCTTTTTTTTGTTTGACTGCTCTGATACACAGGTAAACACAATCTTCACAAAAAAATCAGTACAATAAACAGTTACTAAGTAGCCACCATACAGGCTTTGTGGTAGAGATACCGTGGACAGAAAGAAAAAGAAGACACCGCTGCGCAGCTTTACAGTTGAGTAGAAGAGAGCAACGCATGGATAATTTGAATACAATTTAATAGGTATAGATGTTCTAAGAGCACGGGGAGAAGACTAACGCCCAGACGCGGCGAGGAGGAGCCAAAGATGGTTTGGGGAGGAGGTGAGTATTTGGAGGCACGGGATGACTGAGGAGGCACTTCCATCCCCACTGGGTAGAAATGGGATGGGAGGGGGGCAAGGTATTTTATACTAAATTCAACGATGTCCCTAGATGTTAGAATCTTAATTCCTATGCAGGGAATTCCAGGTGTACGCCTCGTTTGAGTGACAAGTGCTCCTATGGCTGTCTTTACTGCATGGGTAACACATTTTTCAGCGTCAGTACTATGTACAGTGTTGTATCATGTAATTTGCTGATGCTACCACTTTCATGGCAGCCCCCGAAGACGAAGATCAAAGCCATCACATTTACAAAGATACTACTAACAAAAGGCAGTAACAATAAAGAGTAAAAAAAAAAAGCCATATTCGACTTATGCCAGAACTAACTTACTACATGTTGCAGCTGTTAGGTGCCATCAGGTTGGTTCTGGCCCCTAGCGACGCTAAGCGCAACAGAAGGAAGCACGGCCAGTCCTGCGCCATCCTCACCATCGCTCCAGCCACCGTGT